TCTGTATCTTAGCCCGAGTCTTCCTCACCCCTGGATGACCTCCTACAAGTACTTTGTGCGCTACCTGCAATACTTCCTGTCTGTACACTACTGGTAAGACAATCTGGTGAATGTCTGACCATTTCTGCTCTGCACTAACTGCCAAGGTTTCCATTCCACCTTAGAATTCTATCCTTAAGGTAATAACATTCTGGAATACATTCTGATTCCTTTTCAAAGTAGGCTTTATGAGATAAATCTTTTATTGTCTCATCTTTTTGCTGTAACTCCATTGAACTTTCAAAAATAAACACCTCTGCCTGATCCTCTACCTGCTTAGGTTTTTCCTTTACTATTTCATCAAATAATGTGTCAGCTAACTGAACCTCAACTCCCTTGTCGTTCTCCTTAGTTTCCCCTTCTTGTTTTAACCTATGACTGTGGGATCTTGTCACCACACAGACCAGAAAAAAATCCAGGGTATTTTTCTTTTAAGTTTTCAGTTCCCTGGTTTTCTTTTGGCTTCTCCACTACAATGGGCATCATTCCTACCTTTGATCTGGCTAGATCGTTTCCAAGAACAAACTGTATTCCTAGAATAGACACTCTTTCAATCACTCCCACTGTCACTTCCTCCGTCTTGATTGGACTTTCCAGCCTTGTTTTACAAAAGGAAATGCTAGATCTCTCTCCATTTATTCCACAGATAATCATTCTCTCAGGCAACATTTCAGAAGGAGAACAAATATTTTCATCTCTTACCATTAGAGACTGTCCACATGTCATATCTTTCAATATTGTTACTTCTTTACCTTCTCCCCCTGTTCTACCTGAGTAAACCTTACCCACAGAGGTGAAATCTTTGAAGAGATCAGGCATTAACTTACTATCCAGCCTGTGACTAGGCTGTGCGCTTTCCTGCAGCTCCTCAACTTCTCAGGATTTCCTTCACTAACTCAACTAATCCCCCTGGATTAGTCTCTTTTACCACATCCTTTTGCCTCTCAATCCACCAGTACTGTAACTCTGAGTCCCACCTTACTGCAGTGAAAACACCTGAGGCATTTCGTTTTTTTTTTCACCTCCTTGAGTTTCTTTTCTTACGTGTGAGAAACTGTTCCCAGTGTGACCTGACTTTTGTTTTTCATTGAAGGATCTCCCTTTTCCCCCAATTTCTATTCCTCATGAAATGAAATTGCTGTCGGAAGCTAGATTTCAATTTATGCATCTGCCATCTCTGCAGCTTTTCTCGCTGTTTAAACTTCCTGCTCCTCAACAGAAGTTCTTATCATTTCTGGAAGTGAGTTTTTGAACTCCTCCAGCAGAAAAATCTCTAAGATCCTCATATGTCTTTTCCATCTTTAATGCTCTCAACCATCTATCAAAGTTGCTTTGTTTAATTCTTTCAAACTCGACATAAGTCTAACCTGGTTCCTTTCTTATATTTCTGAACTGTTGTCTATATGCTTCTGGTTCCAATGTGTAGGCTCTCAAAATAGCTTGTTTTACTTTTCATTTTCTCTTGACACCTCCTCTGCCAGTGCTACAAACACCTTACTAGCCTTGCCTACCACTTGGTCTGAATAAACATTAGTCACATATCCCTTGGCCAGTTCATCTGTTTAGCCAATTTCTCAACAAAAATGAAAAAGGCTTCTACATCTTTTTCATCAAATTTTGGTAATGTTTTGACATATTAGTATATATCCCTAATATACTGATGGCTATGACAAGTTTGCTCATCCTCAATTTTATTTTGTACTTTTCCTTCTGCAATTTGAAGTTTTTTTTGCTTCAAGTTCCAACTTTATCTTTTCCAAGTCGAAAGTTCTTTCTTCTCTCCCTTTTTCACTTGCTAACTCCATTTGCTTTATTTGCAATTTAATTTTTTCTAACTCCACCGCACTTGTCCGTTTGTCTGGTATACCTAAATGCTTGACTAACTCCTTTACAATTTCAGCTTTCCTCATCCCTAGTTAAACCCAATGCCAGCTTGTTTGCTAAGTCTAAAAGTACATCCTTCCTCTGTCTTTCTAAACTTTCTTGGCAAATTTGGGAAACATCTTCAAACCCCAGAACCTCTTTAGTAATGTTAAGAGCAATTTCCCTCATTTTTGACTTAACCAACCACAAGTAACCGAAATTAAAGAGATTTTCCACTTCTCATTTAAGTTTTATTTAAAGATCTAGGACACTAATCCCCAAGTCTGTTTAAATCTGTCCAAATCTATTCAGATCCATTCAGATCCTGTACACAAACTGGCCAAATCCCGGACTCAAAGCCCCAAATCTGTTACGGAATGGAGGACAAACTCCTCTCATAATTAAAACCTAAACACCCAGAGAGGCTTGCCTTGCCTCAATCTGTTTAAGGAAGTGTGAAAAGTGGTATAATCTGCCTCTCACCCCTAATCTATTATAAAGGAGTGGTTAAATGAAAGAAATCCCTGATACTCACTATATAAGCTACAACTAACAGTTTATTTATCAACTCTAACAATGAACAAATTAACAGAACTACTAACAAACCAAATTTCCCCCCCTTAACTACTAACTAGTCCTGAATAAAACAAAATTCTAATGGTATTCTGTTCCAATAGATTATATAAATTAAATTAATAAAAAAATTAAAGCTTAATCTCTCAAAATTACAGCCAGGATAAGTCTTCCAGAATGTTCTTTGCCTTCTCCACTGTCCTCCAGTCAGGAACACCTTCCTCCGTCGAATTGTTGTGTCAGGAATATTAGCTAAGAGTGTCATAGTACCTTTATTTAGATGATGCTTACTCTGAGATCTTAAAGATTTCTGTGAGAGCCAATGATTTTCTCCTTTATTACATCTGATGGCTGTTGAGAGCTGTTCTCTTAACAGATTGCAGTTTGCTCTCACCCCACTTTTCAAATGGCCTCTTTTTTCTATACCCTTGATGGCATATCAATTTCTTACAATAGGATTAGTCCTAGGCAGTCAAAACCATCAGGTTTAAATTTAATTGGGTTTTGGTATCTAGAGCCTGATTTAAATTAATTGGCTAAATTCAAAATCTGCTGTCTTGGTAAAAATGCTGCTTTTTTCTTTCTAACCGTACAGCCTTTGATACAAATGTTTCAATTCAGAGAAATCTCTGTGCATCTGCAGACATTTTTTAAAATCTCCAAGCCAAGAAAAGCATATCACCTCTTAAAGGAACCACGCACTCTTCCCCTCGCCCCGCCCCCCCATCATTTTTACAAACAAATTTTAACATCCTACCTTCCAATTCACAAGTACTCTTTCAACTTCACAATGGCCGACATTAGGGAACAGCCACCACCACCGGTTATCAGACATCAACAAAAAGGTTACAGCACGTGAGGGAGGAAAGAAGTTGAGCAAGAGGAATGGAGTCAGCAGCATAGGTGGTGCCTTTCTGCCTTGGCTGTGAGTGAAAAATTAATTTGAGTGAGTTAGCAGAGGCCGTAACCACAATTTGTCATTCATCAACAGTCCCACACTCTCTCTGTCACTGACCATCACATCATCTGATTGGTTTTGTTCTATATTTTTGCATTGTGGTCAATGTTCCGACAAAAATCTAAATTGTATATATTAAATATATCACTAGTCACGCTGTTTTGAATTTTGGCTGTGAAAATCACTGTGCTGTATATTGATATTGCTCTGGATTGCAAAGTAGTTCATGTTAGTTTGTTGATCTTTGACTTGATTGGTATAACTGTGGAAAACTACAAGTGGAGCAAAATAAACTGTTTATCATATATTGGACTGATTTTAAACTATTAGGCCAGCTGTTATTTGATATGCATGATGGTTAGTTAGCTCAATTGGCTAGACAGCTGGTTTTTGATGAAGAGTGATGCCAATGGTGTGGGTTCAATTCCTGCACTGGCTGAGGTGATCATGAAGGACTCTCCTCCTCAACTTTTCCCCTCCCCTGAAGTGTGGCGCCCCTCAGGGCCACCAACTCATGTAAATTTTATTTGACATGCTAAGAAGGCATGGAATTCTAAAGTATATTAGTGTGCCATGCATTTGCTTTGATCTATGCTTCAGAATAGTTTGTTTTGTCAAATTAATTTGGCCCAGGGCTCAGAAAAGCTGTCAGAGGTAGCAAAATAAAACATTGAACTCAGAGATCATTCATCTGCAAATCACGAGCAGAATTTGAGACTGACTGGTATCAATACGAAAACTAAACAATGAAAACACACTGTTGAAACTATATGATAACTTTTGAACCAGCACTTTCAATACATAGGTATCAGATGCTTGGTTAAGAAATTAGAATGTGCTGCCAAAAATATTGCACCATTTTCTATGCATAAAATTCAGACTATTCCTAACCAATTTTGCCAGCTAAGTCAAAACTGCATTGACTCAATTTCATTGAGAGAGACAGATACTCACAATTGCTTGCTGATTTGCTCAGTGTAACAATATTTTTAGAATCAAGTTTGTTTTGGTTTTGAAACCTTCTAGATATAAGTTCAATATATTCAATTCAAAATTGTTCTCTTTAAAAATAAAAACAAGCATATATTGTGAAAGGTAACCAAATGTTGGTAGTTCATAGGCTTTCTTTTTCTAGCATTCTGGTTCTAACATAATTTAATGTCGGCTGAGAAGTTATCTAACCTGACAGACAACATTATCACAAAGTATAAACCATTGCAAGGCCACTTGTAGGACATGCTAAACCATTGTAAATATTGACATTGAAACAAGGGTTTATGGGACATAAAGCAAGCTGCTATTTCAGAAGGTCCAAAAGAGTACTAGTGCACTTGTTAGGCCAAAAACTGTAAACCCTCCTAACAGCCATTATTTTTGTAGCTGCCCCTGAAGAGGAATGAATTTAAATTCTATGTTTCCTTTTCTGCTCTGTGCACGGAGCATCTCACAGGTCAGTTAGCTCAGTTGGATGATAATTAGATTCTTGGTGCATTGTTTTAAATCCTAACTGAGATAATAAATGATTTCTAAATTATTTTATACAAATTACATTTTTATTGTTCTTTTTTACTACCAGAGAATACAACAATCAATTCTCCATTGTCTCTGACTTCATTGGGGAGCTGGGAATCTCATTTGTTGAAATTATCTGATTATGTATCTTCATCATTCTTTAAAGCATCAGAAGCACGTTTTACGGAGGGAACAGTTCATAAATAGCAGAATTATACAATTGTTACAGAACACACATCTGCACTGTGTCTCCAAATGAGCAGTAAAGGTGAACTAAGTCACCATAGTCCCTGAGGACCAAAGGATTGTTCTCAGAGGGAGACAACTTGTGGTGTGTTTAACCTGAGCATTGTCACACACCTGGTACCATTCCCCCATCTCTTCCAAGAAACCTTGCATGTTCTTCTTTTTCAGATAATAATCTAATTTCCACTTGAATGGATGGATTAAACCTGCTTCTACCAGACTCATATACTGCATTGCAGATCTTAAACATTACTGTTGACAATTTCTCCTCAGGTCTCCATTGCTTCTTTTGTCAACAACCTTAAAGCTGTGACTTTTCATTCTTTATCCAATGTGAGAAGTTTTGCCATATTATCTCTGTCGAACTCTTCATGTTTTTGAAAATCTCGACCAAATTTCCTCTCAGCCTTCTCTTCTCTAAGGAAAAGACTTCTCAAAACTATCAGCATAACTGAATCCAAATGGCCTTCTGAAATAAATTATATGTAAAATGAATACAAGAATTTGCAATTGGTTAAGGACCGCACAGACTTAAAAATAGGTAACTTGAATTTTATTATCAGTCTATATCAAATAAATTAGCTTGTTTTAGTACAGCAGCTAACACTATCAGTAGGATTTTCCCAGGGCAAGAACAATGTGGACCATAGCTAGAAATGTGGGATGACATCTAAGATGTTGAGTGAGGTTTTTAAGAATGTTAGGAACAACAAATCACATTTCCGAGTAAATTCTAGATGTCAAGCCAAGATTCTCATCACGAAATAGCAACACCCTATTAATAGGAATTATTTTCCATGATAATTTTCATTAGTACCTAATCTCACTTCATAATATGCAAATTCCTGTCCTTCTAACCAACAGATAGAAAGTAGATGCTGAGAATTTCCAGCATGGAAGTTGGAGTGGATACCTGGTGATTCCAGCCCATCACTTGCTCTTCCAGATATCAGTGCAGGCTCTAAAGGCATTCACACATATCCTATGTCAATGGGCATTGGCATCTGGCAAGTACCAGCCAGTCTGCATCCTCATAAGTGCATCTCAAAAGCACTTCTACAATTTAATGCTGCACTTTGGACTGTATTGAGACCTGTCATTACAGTGCTGTAGCAAGAATACTTTGCATCTTGGAATAGGCAACAAGCTCATGGACTGGACAAGGCTGCATCCCAGATCTGTTTGCTTGCACTCTTGGTGCTCACGCAAGTGGATGCTCAAGCATCCCTGCTTTGCTTTGCCTTGCCTTTTTGTGCTTTGCCCCTCAACAAGAGCTTAAAGTTTCACAGTTCCGGTGTACTGCTTTGCAGGTTAGTGCAGACAAAAAGCCAGACAGTTGGTCATTTTGGTCAGCAGACAGTCAAGTGCATGGTAAGCTTGCTGGCACGTTGCTTAGTCAATTTCACACCCGCAATATCTACCAGCAGCTTAAGTGCCAAATGTACTGCATAAAACGCAACAAACAGTCATGTCTCAAAATGGAAGATGCCCATCAGTCAGGTTAACACACTAAAATCTAGGACAGATATCAGTCCAGTGACTTGGGCATGGTCTGTCAGTCAGTCAGCCTGCCACTCAGGGTGGTCAAGGTCAAGATAATTGCCTCACACAGAATGAGAAGCCAAATTTCAGGCACTCCATCACCCGTCTTGGTTCTTTCTGCCCTATAATGGGCCATTTTCTGCTGGAATGACACAAAGGGAGGGATTGAGTGAGAGGAATGTGGGTGGCACAGCTATTAGTGCTGGTGTAGGTGACAGAAAAGGTGTCCTAAATGAGTGAACAGTCAGCGTAGGAGCTATGCAGGGTTAGTAGTGTTGGGTGGGTGACAGTGAGGGAAAATATTGCATACAGTAGTGAGAATGGAAGAGCATGAGGTTTGGTAGGAGGTGGGTGCACTTGCAGAGATAGAGTGAGCGTGAGGAAATGGAGAGAAGACGATGCCACTTACAGAGTGAAGAAGGTCATTGACCTTCGTCCTACACTCCTGGGTGTTCCTCCAGATGGCTGAGACCATATTGACCCCCAGGTGGACCTTGGACCAGACTGGTAGGGTCTGATGATGTGGCCTTCTCTGTTTGTCATGGAGGAAGAGGATGGTCTTCCTCTACACCATCCCATCCACCAGAACTCCAAGTCCTAGTCCACAAAGTGGGGATGAATTTCCCTTTTGACATGTCTGGGGCAAATGTCACAAATTGTGCAAGCAGCTCCAGGCTGACAGTGCTTCTCTGGATACATAATGGCCTTTCACAGATGACATTGGTGACAGGGATCCTGGGATATCCCAGCAGATATGATTACTTCCTGCTTCAGTATGAGGGAGAATTGGGTTGGCATTGGATGAAAGGGGCACTATAGGGGCATGGTAGGTAGTTAATGAGGCAAGTTTGGAAGGATAACAATAGGAAAACCCACCACATTTAACAAGGAGAAAGTCTCTATGAAATTCAACTAAAATATACTTTGCCAAAATATAGTAAGATATGACACTAAGACTGAGATTGGAATCGTGCATGTACAAGAAATGTTCCTCCTTATGCTACAGCACAAATAAACAAATACAGCCTTTTTAATTGTCCCTTTGCCAGGTAATTAAAAGTAAGTCTGTGTCTTTCCTTGGGAATTTGTATAAACTAAAAGCAGATTGTTTTAAAAACAAAGTTGAATTTCTTACAGATTTTCATTTCATGCTGCTGAACAAGGAATTCTAAGTCATTCAAGCCATCAAGTACTCACTGAGGTAAACAGATGGAAACTGAATCACAAGTTTTTAGGAACGATACCAGCAGGTGCACTAAACTGCTGTGAAACATCTGTTTTTAAAAGGGTAAAGTGGCTTGGGAATGATTTTGACATGCCTTTAAATCATAGTACCACTAAACTTTAAATGATTGATATGATTTACAGAATATTGCTTAAAGAAAAGTATAGTACGTGCGGTACACCAAAGGACATTAGTTTACAATTGCCTTTGTTGAGTTGATCCAGTGGGCCTACCTTCCTTCTGATCAGCGAGACAGAAAGATGCCATGTGTAGCCTTTTCTCTCATTCCCAGCCTGGAGATAGCCCAGTGGAATAGGTGGCAGTTAACAGGGGAACAGAGGGGAATATGCATCTGCTGTTATTTTAAAATCTGAACAGGTTTAAAACAGGAGTCCAAGTGAATAGTAGGGGAAGTCTATTTTGTTTGAAATTAACTTTGAAATTAGAAATCAACTTAAAATAATACGAGACTTTAGGTGATAGGGATGCTTCATTGATTAAGAATTATTGAGGCTTTAAAACCTGCAACGATTTTCACTCCTATATTCCATCTCTGCAGAACAAAGTAAAGCTGAAAACCAGAGGGAAACTCAACCAACATACAAACAAGGTAGTTACACTCACAAAGTACGAAAATATAAGGTCCTGCACCATATATTTTATACCATTGTGTCATTTCTGTCTCAGCTTTTCACACTGTATTGACTTTGACAGATTGGTGTGGGAGTTTTTAAGATAAAGCTAGTTTGTCACTATGCCACAACCTGACACTTCCCCTCTATAACAGTCACTCCCTGAAACTGCTACTGTATGCTCATTTTGACCAAATAATTTTTTCTCTTTAAGGAAAACAATGCACCTGACACCTCATGTTATTGCACTCTGAGGCAAGTACATTGCATACAGATCAAGATTGCAATCCTGAGGTCCTAAAGAAATTACTCTTTTTTTCAAATGCGTCTTCAGTTTTGAAATCATACACTATGTGATAATGAATTCTTGAATGCTGCAATGCCCCTAAAGAAACTTGATACCATCCAGGATAAAATGACTTGATCTATAACCCATCCATCACCTTAAACATTCATTCATTCTATGACCAGTAAACCATGGCTAAAGTGTGCATCAACCAAACTGCAGCAACTCACCAAGGTATCTTCAATAACACCTCCAAACCTGTGACCTCTACCTCCAAGGTTGCAGAAACAGCAGGTGTATCATTCTGTTGTAATAAGGTAAATGTTCTGAAGAGTTACTTTGGAGATCAGGATTAAGCCCCATGCTTTCCCACATTGCACTCCATCTGCCACTTTGTCCACTACAAAGAAATGAGGGAGGAACTGACCAGAGTTGATTGGAAGGGGAGCCTAGCTGAGAAGATGATGGAACAACACCAGCAGCGGTTTCTAGGGGTAGTTCAGGAGGCACAACATAAATTCATAATAGATTTCATCATCATAGAATCCCTACAGTGTGGAAACAGGCCCTTTAGCCCAACAAGTCCACACCGACCCTCAGAGCATCCCACTCAGACCCATCCCCCTCTAACCCACCTAATCTACACATCCCTGAACACTATGGGCAATTTAGCATGGCCAATCCACCTAGTCTGCATATCTTTGGACTGTAGGAGGAAACCAGAGCACCCAGAGAAAACCCATGCAGACACAGGAGAACGTGCAAACTCCACATAGACAGTCACCTGAGGGTGGAATTGACCCCAGGTCCCTGGCGCTGTGAGGTAGCAGTGCTAGCCACTGAACCACCGTGCTTTCATCCCAGGAAAGAAGAAATAAAGTAAGGAGAGGACAAGTACAATAAAAACAGTCGTCAACTGCCATCCTGAAAGAGACTCATTTACCCCTACTCTGCCTTCTGCCGGTCAGCCAATCCATTATCCATGCCAATACCTTTCCCCTAGCACCATGAGTTCTTATCTAGCACCCTACTGTGTGGCACCTTGTCAAAGACCTTCTGGAAATCCAAATAGATCACATCCACTGGCTCTCCTTTGTCAAACTTGCATCTTAGCTCTTCAAAGAATTCTAACAGATTTGTCAGGCCTGACCTCCCCTTGACAAACCCATGTTGACTCAACCCTATTTCACCATGCATTTCCAAATACTCCACAATCTTATCCTTAATCACGGACTCTAAAATCTTACAAATGACTGGGATCAGGCTAACTGGTCTAGAATCTCCTGTCTTCTGCCTCTCTCCCTTCTTAAGAAGGGCTATTACATTGGTCATCTTTCAGTCCTCTGGGTCCCTTCCCAAAAGATAACTTCTACCATCTCCTTAGCTATCTCCTTCAGACCCTGAGATGTAGTCCATCTGGTCCGGGTGATTTATCCACCTTAAAATCTTTCAGCTTCCAGTATGATGGCCACTACACTCACCTGCACCCTGAGTTTTTTTAAAAGTTCTGGCTCGCTGCTGATGTCTTCAACTGTGAAACTGATGCAAAGTACCTATACAGTTCCTCCACCATTTTTTTCTTCCCCTTTACCACTTCTCTAGCCTCATTTTCCAGTGATCTAATGTCCACTATTTCATCTCTCATACCTTTTAAATATCTAAAAAAACTCTTGCAAGCTTCTTTGATATTACTAGCTAGCTTTCTTTCATATATTATCTACTCCACACCTGCCCTCACAACCTTATTGATTATTTTGTTATCCTCTGCTGCTTCTTAAGGGTTT